ATTTGGCTATTGCAAGGCGAGAGAAAGTTGCAACTGTGAAAATTTAATAAAATTTCTATTAACATTCTAATAAAAAATCTACTAACATTCTAATAAAAAATCTACTAAAATTCTAATAAAAAATCTACTAAGACCTAATAATTAGTAGTTGTTAGTAGCTAGTAAAATAATAATTATTACTTCTTAGTGGCTACTAAGAATTACTAAATAATAAAGTACTAATGGAAAAAATCTACTAACTAATAAGAATTTTTATTAATTATTATTTATTAGTTACACCAATGCATGTAATTGTTATAAATTGTTATAAATGTGTCCTTTAATTAGTATTTATCACAGGATTTTTTTTTTAAATAGTTTTTTAGTTCCTTATAACATCTTCGTCCTTTAGCAACTTTATCACATTTTTAAATCTATTCCTATTTGTTATAATATTAACAGTAATATGGTAAAATATATCGTTAAAGGCTTCCACGGCCATTCTAAGGGGATCCCTATATTGGATATTAATTTTAATTTTTCCCTTTATGTGTAGAGGTCTGTTATTCCTTAGACCATAATGGTCTGGCCTGTGTTCTAGATATTCTTCTAAAAATGGAGCATTCAGATGTCCAGTTATAACGTCATGAATTAGGAATATTTCATTGTTTCCTCTTCGTCTAGCGAGGCTTTGTAAACCTAGTTTTTCACAACGTATATTGTATGGAGCTAATCGATGATTTTCATTTTTTTTTTCGTTTTTCTCAAAGCGTAAATTACTATTTGTTTCTGTATAGACTCTCTATTATCAGTTACATTTGTTAGGTGGCGATCCCAAATCACTCTACCATATTCAATTATCGATCTAATTAAAGCATTGTACAGGGTGGGCCAGAATAAGTGTCGCTTTTATATAGGCTCAAAAAACGTATTGTTTTTTACTAAAATTGAACAAAAACTTAATTGGGATTTAGAAGAGGGTCCAAAATTTTAAATTCATGTTTTGGTTTTGATTCTTCCTCCATTTGCACGGACCACCAAACGCAAACCGTAAAAACGATTTACACGCGGCGCGCACCATTTCGATGGGAATATCGTTCCAAATCTTGACGATTTTCTTTTTGAATGCATCCAATTTTGTAATTTTCTTAATCTTCAGATCATTTAACTTCGATTGCATGTAGCCGCACACAAAATTATCCAACGGATTTGGGTCTGGAGACGATGGCGGCCACTCATCTTTGTTCAAAAAATCAGGCACATTTTCTCTTAACCACTGTTGCACTTTGTTTGCTCGATGTGCCGGTGCCCCATCTTCCTGAAACACCCACGGTTCATCACCAAACACAGCCTCGGCATGTGGCAACAAGTTTTTGCGCAATATTTCTTCTTCATACATAGCTGCGTTAATTTTAACGCCTTTTTCAACGAAAACAAGGGGAAATTTGTGGCCGACCGAAACGGCGGCCCAAACCATGACACTCGACACATTTTGAAATCGTTCAATGACTAAATCATCTCCAGGAATGTCCTCAATTGACGCTGCATACACGCAATCATTTTGCGCATTGAGACTTGGCTACAAAAGGAACAACTTTTCGTCTGAAAAAACAATGTTTGAGGTTGCGCGCCGGCGTAGCAGTTCTTTGCATTTTTGCTTTCTATCTTGCTTATTTTTGATTGTCAAGCCGTGTTTTCGGGTTTTTTTAAATGGTTTAACTCCCAAATCTTCTTTCAATACTCTTTGTATTGAAGATCGACTGCTCTGAAAACCTAAAGGTGGGCTATTCACAACAAAAGTAGCTGTCATTGTATTTCACCAAAAATTTGGTGTGATTTTAATACGAAAAAATATTGTGAATGAACCACGGATTGAACTTAACCTCGAAATTAGTTTGTATATGTATTGTTCAGTGGTGCGTTCACAATATTTTTTCGTATCAAAATCACACCAAATTTTTGGTGAAATACAATGACAGCTACTTTTGTTGTGAATAGCCCACCTTTAGGTTTTCAGAGTGGTATTGTACTCACGAGCCAAGATTCTAGAGCTTCTTTTGTTATTTCGACGAATTTTCTTTCGTACTTTTTTGACCAGATCTTTTGTACGTACAGATTTTTTTCTGCCCGGTTTTCGCTTCACATCGACTGTTCCATGTTCCTTGTATCGTTTTATGGTGAGCTGAATAAATCTCAAATTGATATTGTCACTCTGAAGCTTCCGAAAAATATCAACTTGTCGCAAACCTTTTTTTGTGCAAAATCAAAACTAGTTGACGTTTCACATCCATTGCTATTGTAAAGTAAACAAGAACTGCGCAATACTGTGCATCGTCACAGTGGATTGCACAAACATGAATAAACATAACGGTGAACCAAAGGGTGATCGGAAAGCATTGTAGTTGAAATTACGTAGGTGCAAAAAAAAAGCGACACTTATTCTGGCTCACCCTGTATAATAGGACAATAGTTTCAGGGTTCATTCTGTTTTTATCCAATTTCTTTATAAGACCTGTGATAGCTGCGCATTTGGAAATGGTTTTTTCTACGTGAGTGTCAAAGTTTAATTTTTCATCAAACCATACACCTAGGTCTCTTTGGTTGTGAACTCTATCTAGACTATAATCATTGATTTTATAGTTTGCGATTATGTGATCTTTTTTCCTATGAAACGTCATAATTGTGCATTTCTTCTTGTTTAAAATAAGACCATTTTCTTTGCAATAATATTGTAATCTATCAAGATCTTCTTGTAGTTGTGTTCACATTATGTTGTCAAAAGAAATATATACACGAAAATGACCACCAGAATGGGCCAAACCACTTTACATCCGCATTGTCGACTACCAGAATGACCTGATTGATACTTCTTCTTTTTGGTTACCATTTCCTCGTAATTTTCTCGTCTCTCGCTTTAATTGCTACTCCATTGACCTTTTCTGCAAATTCTTTAAATGTTTTCTCATCTCGTAATGACACCGTTGCCGTTTTGTCGTTTGTGCGACAGTTCTATTGGGATTATTTTTTAATTTGTGACCTCCCATGCCATTATATAGCATTTTTTGTTACATTCAATTTTCGATAAATCAATATTAAAAATTAAATACATTTGAATTAATACAAAATTTCCAATAAATTGATATTAAGAATAAATTAAAAATAAATTTTGAATTAACACAATAAACAGCCACAGCCGGATTACTTGAAACGAGGGACCTATTGAATTTTAATGCAACTGTAGAATGCGAACCGCCAAATAGACACTTGTATGAATTCAATGGCGTGCTAAAAGTGAGAGGCCAACTGTTAGTATTATATATTGTATTATTATTACACATTACTTTTTTTAATCGTCAACGTTTTTTTTTCAGTGCCGTTGCGTTGGGGCCAGATCAATTTCTGCAACGTGGTGCAATTCTTCGAAATACGGCTTGGGTGTTTGGCGTCGTCATATACACAGGACACGATTCAAAACTTATGAGAAATTCTACCTCAGCGCCCTTAAAGGTTTGAATGCGATGCATTTTTCTAAAAATAAAATGGACTTTTATCTAAAATTTAATCATTTTTCATCAGCGTTCTACTGTTGACAGACTGACAAATACGCAGATTTTGATGTTATTTATAATGCTAGTAGCGCTTTGCTTAATAAGTGCTATATTCAGTGAATTCTGGACGAAGCGTAATAAACAAAGTAATTTCTATCTCAGAATTGATGGTAAGAAGACACACATTTTTAACACAAAAATGTCCACTTAAATAATTATATTTTTCAAATTCATTTTTATACAGATGTTATAAGCAGAAGTTTCGGATATAATCTCCTAACTTTTATAATTCTTTACAATAATTTAATTCCAATATCACTTCAAGTTACATTAGAACTGGTTCGATTCATGCAAGTAAGAGGTTGACTGTTGAAGTTTTGTTTGCAGACATCTCTAATTGATGTTTAATGTTGTAGGCTATTTTCATAAATTTCGATGTGGAAATGTATCATGAAGAAACCGATACACCAGCGATGGCCCGAACTTCAAATCTTAATGAAGAACTTGGCATGGTCAAGTATATATTTTCTGATAAAACAGGAACGCTTACTAGAAATGTAATGGAATTTAAAAAGTGTTCGATTGCTCGTTCGATTTACACCGTTGAAGAAACACCTGAGGCATCAGTACTAGTCCAGGTGAGTTTGCATTATTTACTGCACTATTATAGCAGAATTATTTAAAATAAATAACAATATACTTCTCGCTTTTATTGAATTTAATATTTAGAATATTCGAAATAAACATCAAACTTTGCCAATAATTGAAGAGTTTTTAACTCTATTGGCAGTCTGTCACACAGTAATTCCAGAAAAGGAAGAAAACGGTAAGATGGTCTACCATGCAGCTAGTCCAGATGAACGTGCTCTCGTTAATGGCGCCATGAATTTCGGCTATGTATTTGAAATGCGAACGCCGAATACGGTTGAAATAGATGCACTTGGTAAACGGGAGCGATATGAAATTTTAAATGTTTTGGAGTTTACTTCAGCTCGAAAGAGAATGTCGGTTATAGTTCGAAATGCTAAAGGAGAAATTAAGTTGTATTGTAAGGGTGCTGATACTGTGATTTATGAACGATTGGCACCAAATGGTCAAGCTTTTCGTGATATAACACTTCGACACTTGGAAGATTTTGCGACCGAAGGTTTGCGTACACTTTGCTGTGCCGTTGCCGTAATACCTGAAGATATTTATACAGAATGGAAGGAAACTTACCACAAAGCATCAACCGCCATGCAATTTCGTGAACAAAAGGTTGAAGATGCCGCAAATTTAATTGAACATAATTTAATATTACTCGGTGCCACCGCAATTGAAGATAAGCTACAAGACGGAGTACCTGAAACAATCGCCGCCCTGCTGAAGGCTGACATCAATATGTGGGTGTTGACTGGAGATAAGCAAGAAACGGCCATAAATATTGGATATTCGTGTAAACTAATTTCACAAGGAATGGATTTAATCATTTTGAATGAAGAGAGTTTAGACGTGAGTTTCATAATTCGGTTGATAGTTATTGAGATTGAAATGAATTTTAATCTGAATCAACCATAAATTTGCATAAATTGTGTTGTATAGTTTCAGATATATTTTAAAACAGCTGTCCAATAACAGCGCCATCATAAGCTCAGACTTAAGGTGCATTTTCCAAGGCGACGATTGCAATCGTCCACGATTTTTTTTCAAATCGGGCGTCAAAAAAACCACAAATAATAAATAGTTCACGATTTTGGCGTCAAAAAAACCATTGATCTCAATCGTTAACGATTTTGGCCAACGATTTGAAATCGTACACGATTGTAATCGCCGCCTTGGAAAATGGACCTTTATGCAACAATATATTACAGCCGTGGTAAAGTCTGTGTTTTCAGTAGTGGCACTGTTATGTGACAGTTCTGTTAATAACTTCGGTATGGTATAAATTGTAAAGAAATCGATTCTTTTAATTTACATTCATAGAACACAAGAGAGTGTATAGGTCGCCACAGTGCCGATTTTGGAGAACATTTACGTACTCAGAACAATGTCGCCCTAATTATTGATGGAACAACACTAAAATATGCATTAAGCTGTGATCTTCGACGAGAATTTTTGGATCTATGCATTTCGTGTAAAGTAGTGATTTGTTGTCGAGTATCACCAATTCAAAAAGCTGAAGTTGTTGATTTAGTGACAACAAATACCAACTGTGTAACTTTGGCCATTGGCGATGGTGCCAACGATGTTGCTATGATACAAAAGGCCCACGTCGGTGTGGGAATTTCAGGCTGTGAAGGATTACAGGCGGCTTGCGCATCTGATTATTCAATAGCACAAGTTTGTTTTCAATTCTTCAAATTAAGGAATAATGACATAAATTATCTCTTGATGCCATGTGTATTACTTTCAGTGTGTCCATAACATATAGAAATAGCACTAAATAGTGTCGATATCTATACTATATTGGTCCACTATATATGTAAGATATTCCGCAAGACACCGTAGCTCACGATAGAAGTGAGTGCGGACGGCAAACATGTTGACGCATACACACAGTTCTTTCTACTGCCGCATGGCAATTTGTGATTTTTTCCGTCTACACTGGCTTCGATCGTGCGATACGGTGCCGTGCGGCAATATCTTTCATATATAGTGGACCGATATAGTATAGATATCGACACTATTTAGTGATATTTCTATATATTATGGACACACTGATTACTTTATTGATCAGAAACAACTATAGCATAATAGTAAATGGAAACTTTGGTTGATCAAAAAATACAATAATACACATGACATATTTGATGCTTTTGAAATTTTCGGGAATTTTATTTACTTATTTTTTTCTTGATTGTTTTCAGTTTCGATTTTTATTGCGGTTGCTTCTGGTTCACGGAGCATGGAATTATAGTCGAATGTGCAAATTGATTTTGTACAGTTTCTATAAAAATGTATGTTTATATGTCATTGAACTGTGGTTTGCCATATATTCAGGATGGTCGGGTCAAATCATATATGAACGATGGACAATTGGCTTATATAATGTATTCTTCACGGCTTTGCCTCCATTCGCCATCGGTATTTTTGATAAAGTCTGTTCAGCAGAGACAATGCTTAAATATCCAGCTCTGTATAAGCCATCACAAAGTGCACAGTTATTCAATGTACGTGTCTTCTGGATATGGATTTGCAACGCATTGATTCATTCAATAATATTGTATTGGGCACCAATGCTTGCATATGGCAACGAAATAATTTGGGGTAATGAATTATTTTAATGAATGAATTATTTTTCATTATTTTAATTAAATTTAAAAAAAAACTCTAGGTAATGGAAAAAGTGGTGATTATCTTGTACTAGGCAATATAGTTTATACGGTAACTTTTATGACATCCTTAGTTTATAAAGCTTTTGTTTTCCGAACCACTTGATTGAGATAGCTATTCAAATACTTATTTCTTTTTAGTATGTCGTTGTGACTGTATGCTTGAAAGCAGGGTTGATCACTAATCATTGGACTTGGCTTACTCATTTATCTATTTGGGGGTCAATTCTGTTGTGGTTTTTGTTTATGATAATTTATAGGTAAATTATTGAATTTTTTTAAATAAATAACGAATAGATAGTAAATATTGAAAATATGTGCTTTCATCAATATTTAGTAATTTCTGGCCAGCAGTACCGCTCGCAGCTGTATTTACGGGAATGGATAAATTATTGTTTACTTCTCCCGTATTTTGGCTAGGATTATTCATTATACCGATGGCTGCAATACTCTTCGACATCACAATCAAAGCGTATGTATACACTGTAAAATAGAAGGGATTAAATATTAATCATTTGGGATTTTTCATCAAAATAATCCAAAAGGATTAAATTTTAGCACTGTAGGATTAAATTTAAATACTTACTAATTGTAGCGAACTGTAGGACCACGTTGAAATCCCGCATAAAACCCAGGGCTTACGGCCGAGAGCTCCGCGCTTGATCCAGATGAGAACGCAATGTTCGTTGTGTTGTTTGTTGATTCTGAAAATGACAATGATTATATCAATTTCTAAATATGAACGTAAATTAAAAGTATGTGTAGCTTCAATTGATTAGATAAATTCAAAGCAGAATTATTGAAATGATTACATACTTGATTGGATGCTGCTCGTCTTGATTGTCGAGCTCGTGCTGGTGGTGCTGGCGGTGGATCTCCTCCTCCTGCATTTTCTTCTTCTTCTTCAACATGCCGTTGAAATGCTGGATGTAGCTCTATATTCATACAGCACACCATCCTGTTTGTTTGTAAGGAATAAAAAAAAACGAATTCATTGTCTATTGTTCATTGACTTGTTCATATTAAACTGAGAGCATATCAATTTAACAAACACAAACCTTTGTAGAGAATGTTACGACCTGCATTTGCATCACGATTCCAGGTGATAGTACGCCCAATTCGAGTTTTCTCTTCATATTTACGAAATTTTGATGCCATACGTGGACCATCAGTACGGGGACGATGTTTTCGTTGCTGCGTCAATTTGCGATTGCTTTTTCGTGATTCAATCGGACCTTGGGCTTTTCCAAGCACATTTTCTCCACACAATGGTTCGCATCCATGGCATGTGAGATAGCGATATTTCTCCTTTACTTTGCCTCTTTTTGTCGGTTTTTCAAGTTCACGGAAGCACAACGAACATAATTTGGTCGTCCGAAATTCGTCCACCTCGACCACTGTACATTTACGGCGACGTTTCAACTTCTCGAACAAATCTCGCACCTTCGATCGAATATATCCTCGGGCTGGTGAATCTGCCGCAATGAAAAGATCACCGACAAATATGAACGTTTGCTTACCATCGATGAGCTTGGTTGCATATGCATCAAGTGCTCTATTCGTGTCAATGTACTGGAGAAATGCTTGCAAAGCGTATTCATACTGTGTGTATGCTGTGAACTTTTCTTCAAAATGATGCAAAATATGATCAGCATATGATTTATGGTCTTCGGCTCGTGGACCAGGCTGCTCATCAAATGACTCACGATGTAGACGCATCTTTTCATCGATTTCAATTGTCAACTTTTTGCGCCATTTGTTCCGTCGCGATGAATTCATCATATCTTGGTATTGGCCCGATGTCAATCGAATGATTGTTTCAGTGCGATTATTTCGATCGTTGAAATTGTTAATGCGCACACCACCGTAGTCCAGGATCGAGACCATACACTTGTTGGCTTTTCAGAAGCATCTCTTGTGTCTCTTTCATACGCTCTTCATCGTCTTTTTCAATGATGAATTTTGTTCGTTCCATCAAAAATGACATACCGACACCATCTGTTTGAATGGAGTTGTCGAATTTTATTGTTGCATGGCCATCATTTTTGTTTCTCGGTTCTCTTTCGATTCTATCGATGTCGAAATACAGACGCCATAATACATCCCATTCTTTACTTTTGATGTCTTCCTCCTGTTTTGGGCCGCCATTTTTATTTCGAAATAATCGATGTGGACATTCTATCTGTCTCAACATGCGATAAAACACTCTACGATCAATTCGAATGTAATATCTTTCGAACGATGACGTTGGTACCACGGTGAAATTTCTGTATTCACGAAGCTCGGTTCGTTCACCTCGCTTCAATGCGGCTTTTCGTTCACGTTCATGATTGCGAATGCACCTATTTTTGTATATTTTCCAAAAAATAAATTGATAAAATTACTCGTGTGATATTTGTAGAATTTTCAAAATGGAAAAAAATCGCATAAAAAAGACAATCGTTTGATTCACAATAATAAATGAACGAAAACTCACTGTTGCAAATTCAGGAATATTGGTATGTATTTGAACCAATTGCTTTCCATAGCAAAAAAGTACCCTTTCCCATCGTCGAATCGGATTGGCTTTAATGTATTTTCCAGTTCCCACATCAAATTCAGGTCTGGCACACAGTTGGAGTTTCGCTTGAATAAGAAATCCATGGTGTCATCAATTTGTGCTTTGCTCGCGCTTTGATGTGTGAAAAACTTTCGGATGCGTGAGTGAGCGTGCATACAAATATTATTTTTGTAATTTGTATAAAACATTTGTACTGCGTATTCAACTACATTCCCGAATCCTTTAATTACTGGAGCTCGAACACCGTATTTTTGGCAATAGTACCAAATGCCGTAACAAAACCTGTACCCGCTTTCTCTGGCGTCGTTAAATGCATGCTCAATGAACTGAACGCCGTAAAACCAATCTCGAAATAAATTTTTTTCGACGAATTGAGTATAGAATGCTTCGATTTGCTCGTCTATACTGCGCTTGAAATGATCACTGGTGAAATAATGCAAATTCAGTGCACGCAATATGTAGCACCGTGTCATTTCTAATACGTATACGTCAATCAACTGAGCAAATTTTCCAGTGTTAATGGGCAGATTCACTTTTAAACCTTTTCGAGCACTTTTTTTAATTGTTTGGTGTTCTTTAATTTTTATCTTCTTTCGTGGCTTAAACGCCGATTCGTGATTCCGTTTGCGACCGCTCATTTTTAGCAACTGTTAACGTATTGGAATCTCCACCGATATTTATACCTCGAAATATTGATGAATAATCAAAATATATTTTGATAAATATAAAAGTGCCGGTTTAAAAATATTCAGGCCACTGTTATATTTATCAAAAACTACAATGACTATGATAGACTATGCATACCATCAAATAAATTTATTAATTATACTCAAAAATCGGTTGATTTAGCAATGTATTATTGTTGATGAATTTATAGGTTCCTGGTATTTTAAAAACAGGCCTCTAAAAATGTATCAAAATATACAATCACCGATTCATGTGATCGAACGGGTTCACAATAAACAAATATCAATGCGTTCATTTCACTCTTGCATAAATACAATTTCATAATTCTGCAGTCCGATTTCAAATGCTGACAAAATGTTCGCTAAATTACACTCCCAAAGGTGTGATACGGAATTTATGTTGATATTCGATGCAAAAGAATCTTATTGAAAATCATTCGTCAACAAAGCAAGAATTAATCTTTCGTCAACACGCATTTTACGATAGTGTTTCGGTTGTTCAAGATTCTGATGGATTTTGAAAATTTTACAAAATGTTTGCCATGTTACCATTTTGAAAAAAAATCACTGAGCACACAAAAGCGGTTGTGACATGGAATGTTGATATTGATGCGAACCGACCCAAAATTCTATTGAAAACCATTCGCTAATCAATTCTTTACTTTGTTTTCACTAGCTATAAAACATTTTATCAGAAATCTAATAAATTGCACAGAAGCGATGGAAAAAAGGATTCTATTGAGAATTATATTCTAATAAAAAAACTAATCGAAATTCCAACAGAAACAAAATTTAGTTTTTTCGACAACGGTGCACGTGATTTACACAATAAACATAAGACCATGAAAGGTTATGTTTGCAATCGAATGATAATGACAACACACACGGGAATAATGTATAGATTATTGGTAGAAATGATTTTTTTTCTTAAATCTATACAAAAGTTTAGATATCTCAACAAAAATTCATTTTTTATTAAAAAAATATTTTCTCAATTTAAATAAATATTGCGATACATATTTATATACGAGCGCCAAAATACATCATTTAATACAGCCTTTTCTCTTCACACGAAAGAACAACAACAATTACATCGAACGGCGACTATAGAGGATGCGACCACTACTTATGCAAACAACGTGTCTTGCTACATTGGAACGGCAACTATATAGAAGTCAACTACTATACACGCATCACTTCAACTGACGAGTCAGTGGAAGCATGTAAGACACAAACGACAACGTTGTTTGCATAAGTAGTGGTTGCATTCTCTATAGTCGCCGTTCGAGTGTAGCCATGTAATTGTTGTTGTTCTTTCGTGTGAAGAGAAAAGGCTGTATTAAATGATGTATTTTGGCGCTCGTTGATAAATATGTATCGCAATATTTATTTAAATTGAGAAAATATTTTTTTAATAAAAAATAAATTTTTGTTGAGATATCTAAACTTTTGTATAGATTTAAGAAAAAAATCATTTCTACCAATAATCTATACATTATTTCCGTGTGTGAAGCATTTGAAGTTTCATGTAAATGTCAATACAATATGAAACAGTGTTCCAAAGGAAGATTCATTTTGAGATATTTTTTTACAAACAACAAAAAAGTGTTTATTGAACTCAAGTTAAAAAATGTAAAATGATCCCATTGGATTACTTTTTATTCCTTTTGGATTAATCGTAGCTGAAAATCCCAAAATACTAAATATTAATACCACCGATATAAGAGTGTAGTAAAGTAGTATAGTTAAATTTGAATCAAAAAATTTACCCAGTATAGAATTTATTGAGTTTCTATATAATTTCTTTCAGCACACACAATACAGTCTTCAAAACATTAACCGAAGCAGTGAGAGAGTCCGAAATCCGTAAACACGATCCAAGTCTTGTCCTTAAGGAATCTAGATCATCGTGAGTATTTTATCGTTATTCAAATAAATTTATTTTTCTCTTTGAAATGTGTTGTTCTACAAATTATTAATGATAACCTCATATGTTTCATTGCTAAAGAACAATCGTCAAATTTATTCTATTTGTTTTCTCTCTTGAGTGTAGAAAATCTTAGTTTATTTGCTCTTGTTTATTATTAATATTATTTTTCGTATTAAATGTTTCAAAGTATATATAAAGTACATAGAAAAAAGCTTACGTTTGTACAAAAATCTATATGAAATCTTGCACACATAAATGCAAAAAAAAATAAACCTAATTATATTTAATTCATATTTGTTTCTTAAGAGATAGATCAAATCGTTGCTATACCAAGAACAATAACTAAACATTTTAATTAATGAATTGTTATATATAGGGTAGCGCTTATAAAAGGCTCACTCTTAGGGGGTGGAAATTTCTATCGGAGCAGAATTTTGAATTTTTCCTCGGGGGGTGGGGGTGCCCCAAATTTTTCAGAACTTCATCGGATCAAAAAATAATTTACTACAAAGTTGAATGGGTCAAAATAAAAATCCGACTTGTACGCACAGTCAATAAAAGTGGAATATAGAGTTTTTTTACATAGTTTATTTGTTGTAATACAACCAGAGGTGCGCACGCATTTTTTTTTGGGGGGATAGCTGTCAAATTTCGGATTTTCGGAAGGGAGGGGGTCAAGAAAATAAACAATTCTTGGGGGGGGGGTCAATCCGGATTTTCTTCCGAAAACCTGAAACCGCTTGTATTAAGATTGACTTTCGATTTGACTGAGAACGAAAATGATAATGAATGAGTTTCAATAATATGACGTACTTTCGATTATCTCAAAAAATGAAAATGAAAAAAACAAAGCAATTTTGTAATGAATATACACAAAAATGTGTATTTAGAAAATGTACTTGAATCATTGGTGGAGGGAAATCCGGACGTGATAAAATTTTGAGGGGGGTAAAGTTAGACCCGGAAATCCGGACGTGACCAAGCTAGGTGGGGGGTAAAACCCTGGGGGGTATAACCCAGTGCGCACCTCTGAATACAACAACAATTCTATGTAAAAAACGCTGTGTTCCACTTTTATAGACTTGCGTACAAGTCGGATTTTTATTCTGACCCATTCAGTTGTTCAGAATAACGAGAGAAATTTTTTGGACCCCTGCCCTCCAAGTCCTTCCTTAATTTTCGCGATTTTCTACCATCTATATGGGAGGCTTGTATGAAAAACACGGAAGACCGCTGAAATGGCAAATACAAAATATGTACGGACGTACGATAGTGTCATTTCAGCGGTCTTCGGTGTTTTTCATACAAGCCTGCCATGTACATAGATGGTGAAAAATCGCAAAAAATGAAAAAAATAATTAAATTTTTTTTCTTCGATTTACAAATACTTCTCAATTTTCTGTATCACCTGGTTCAATCAGAATAAAAAAAATCGCATTCCATATCATCTTAATCACGATCTGGACTTTTTTACTTTTGGAGTGCTCTATACCGAGTCTCCGAGAGTTTCATATAAACTTCCCATGTACCTATTGAATAGTGACCGAATGCCAATCGTGATTTAGATGATAAGGAATGCGAGTTTTTTTATTCTGAATTCACCAGATGATACAGAAAATTGAGTAGTATTTGTAAATCGAAGAAAAAAAATTATTTTTTTCATTTTTCTCGATTTTTCATCATCTATATGGGAGGCTTGTTTGAGTGCTCTATACCGAGTCTCCGAGAGTTTCATATAAACTTGCTATGTGATGCCTACTGAATAATAAGCGTTGAATAATAAGCGAATACCAATCGTGATTGAATCACTAGGCGCTATTTGGCTATTGCAAGGCGAGTTTATATGAAACTCTCTGAGACTCGGTAAAGAGCACAAAAAGTGAAAGAAAAAAACATTTTTTTCTCAATTCTCGAACACCACTAAATGGTCTATATCATGTGGTGTGATCATAACGTAAAAGTTTGTCATCTTTGTCACTCAAATCATTGTCCAATGCTATCTCGCTCCTCCTTGTATGTATGAATGTTTACAACGGAAATTCTATTCACACACACAACTTGCACTCATATTTTATGGAACCGAACCAATGATTCACTCAGTTGAGTTAAACTCAAACCAATTATTGTTATTTGAAAAATACGCACCCCCCAAAGGGTTTTTCAAAATTTCCATCCCCTAAGAGTGAGCCTATTATATGCGCCACTCTATATATTATGTTTTAGATAAATGAGTTGATAAAAAATAGGAGTTTTGTTATGGTTGTCAATTTGAAGAATTCTCTATTTATAAAATATTATGAAAAAATAGCCTAGCTACACTATTTATGAACAATTTATTTTTCAACATTTGATTTAACATGAATAATGAAGTTTGGGCTTGTCATCACAATTAAATCGTTCTCACATTCATTGTGTCGTCTCATTATTTAAATTAGTTGTCATTTTTTCAATCCTAATGTATTTTGCTCAATCGTTTGTCTTCTTCTTTTTTTTCTTTTTTGATAATTGTGCGCTATTTTGTTTAATTTGTGTAAAAAACCAAACAAATTAATTCATATATGTATAGAGGACAGCCTGTAGCACTATCTTGGCGACGAATAAATACCATTGCCCCACTACCTAATATTATTGATGCATGGAATCAAACGCACAATAACAATTTTAGTAACAGTAACGATATTCACAATCACTTATGAACAGAAACGAACCGAACAAACGTGATAACGGACATTTGAGAAATTGATTGGACCACAGCCAAAACGACCTAGAAAAATCCAAATTAAATTACAAAATCAAAAATTAAAAGAATAAGAACACACAAATTGCTTCAATATTTTACTTCACGATGTAAAAAAAGTAAAACTACTAGAAAGGAAAATGTAATTTAAAAGAAACAATATACACAAATGACAAAAAAATCTGCAAAAATATGACTTTATGAGATTTCCCTCTAATATGGCAATATTTTAACAGGAATCCTCATCGGGCGTGTACAAACGTCAAGGTTACTTGATTTTGTGTTCAGAAGTTTCCTGCCAAAAAATTTCTATATTAAAAGAAAACCTTACAAATTCATATTTTGGTGAGGATTCAGAAATAATTTATCGAGTTTGTTTCCTGTGTGCAATTTATAGAATTTGGTTGATTAGCTCAAGTGTTAAGCGATTTAACATATTATATTTTCGGAAAAGTCTGTAGACGTATATTCAAACATTTATTTTTATTTTTCCATAAGCGCTTTGTTCGAGAGATAATTTGAACGACCATAAAATAATGGTTTTTATTCATAAAATAATTTATTCTTTATCCATCGCAGTTCTTACTGAACTTACATCTAGAAAAAGTATTCTCTAATTATTCGAAATTTATATATTTATAAGGGGGGTCCCTTATGCAGCGAGTAAATTATATCATGAACAAATGAATTGTTGAAATAAAAAATGAAGGTTTGAGTGATCGCGAACAGACGTTCCTGAACATTTAACATGTTCATTCGTATTTTAATGAAGAATTTATTTTAGTAATTTTAATCATTGTGTTTTCTTTTTTTCTGTTTGTTGAAAAATGTTTAGTTTGATCCATGAAGCATTTTGCTTTTGGCTTTTTATAGAAATTACATTGAAATTTCGATGGAACTGTTGGTTGGTGATGGATCAAAATATATCTTAAAAAGAGTGCACAATGTTACATAGTAAAGTCCCCTGTCATATAAACTAGCGCCACCATCAGTGCTATCAACGAACGAACGTTCGTAGTAATTTTTTTTATTTTCTGTGACCGATAAATGAATAAAATACACCACCAAATATAATTGAAAAAATTCGAAATATTCTAAAAACATATTTCTTGCCAAATCGGAAAGGTCTATAAGTATGCGAACATTCTACGAACGAACGGACGTTCGTTGACAGCTCTGGACACAATTTAAATAACATGGAGGCAACTGTTATTGTGGACTTTTCGGCACTTTTCTTTAATATTATCATTTAAATCAATTCCAGAATGGAAAGCTTCAGAATAAAACGACCATTAAATTTTAGTCGCATATATATCTATTCTTAAAACGATTCTTACGTATTGAGTTTCATATATACGAGTTTTTGTTTTACCAGTATACTGGATCTATGTTTAGATATACTGGATCTATGTTTATCTATAGATCTATGTTTCTTTTTGATCGGTAACGCAAATGAAATGAAATTCTCTAGAGCATTCGATTACAGATTAACATAAAAATCAATGTTTTTGTCCACAAATCTTTTTAAGCCTTGGTTAAGATTTGCAAATCTTTTTCCTTAAGTTATTGCACACAATAAATAGCTTCCAATTATTCATTAATACAAAAGTCACAACAAAACAAATGCGATGACACTCAATTCTTCCATTTTGTTGAATAATTAAATTAATGAAAAAGTTATAAATGAATCAATGCTCTTGTAAGTTCCACAGAGTGGGAGTTCAACTTATTTCATTTTCGAGTTTTTATTATTTTTCAAAAAAATGTATCTTTCAATTTAAACCAAACTCTGATACATTGCAAGTAGGGTTATCGGATTTCGTTTCTCTATGGAATTTGTTTTGTCCAATACCATTATATTCATATTTTTTATTATAATATCATTATAATTTTTGATATATTTAAGAAAATCAATAAAACCCCGTTAAACTATTCCAATAAGCATACATCTACAACAACACAGTATATATCCCAGACATAGGCACATATATTTTTCAAAAAATATTGAAAGGGACATTTTAAACTAAACTTTCAATCACAATTCCATTGCCATAATTATATTTTTTTAATATGTTTTAATTGTTTTATATTTATTAATTAATTGCAATTTTTATAGAATTGACTAAATTACTTACAAATAATGTGTAAAATGTAAATTCATTTCTTTATTTTCAAAAAATTCAAAACAAAAAACAATCTTGTAGGTAGAAAACCAGACTGTTAAATGAATGCATAACTTTCTTAAAATAAATAGCTCAAATTATAAAATCAACCTTCACTTAGTAATGAACAGAAATACTTAAAACAATTGAATAATAATGATGCTAACATTTTGTATGCTTCATTACATAACATTTTGTTTAATTTGCTTTCATTTAACGTTTAAACAATGGTATAATTTGTAGTATGATTTTAATTAGTTTTAGTAACGGAAGATATATCGTCTTTAGAAAATTTTATGGGTGTAGGTTTTTCTGATGATCCCATTTTTATATTTTTTAAATTCAACTTAAAGATGAAAAAAACATTAACAATAGTGAGAATGATGAGATTTTTCGTAAACTGAACTATTTCATTTCATTCACAACTTGGATTCAGTTCGAATTCTTAGCAAATTGTACTACACTCAGAAATTTTGGGGTATAACTACTTTTTTAAAGATAAGCCATTTTGCCCGCAACCTGGAGTGGTCCTCGAAATAGCTCCTTTTCTTAAAAAAACAAATCCTACCAAATTTCGATCAAATATCCAAAATATTCTCTTCTCGTCATTCTTAAAAATATTCCGCAGATTGAAACTGTTAAGGAGAAAAGAAGATTATTATTGTTATTTAAAAACAAAAATACATTTAAAAATATTATTTGCAAATAATTTGAAAAAGATTAGTAATAGACACAAAAATACGGGTAATATGTATTCATTGATGTATTTTAGTTTGTTATTTTCATTTTTTTAAAACCAAACCTTTCAACACAGTGATTGCAAAAATGATAGATACTTCGCGAACTAAATTTGTGTTTGCTTTTGAGTATCATATTGCACATTTTTCCAAAATATATTTTATCGCGATTTTCATTTAAGGTTGATTTTCTTATCTACAAATGATGTGTATTTATATATTTTCCTTCAGAACAATGCATGCACTGGGAAATTTAGTCAGGTGTAAGTAAATGTGTTTTAATTTCTAAATATAAACTTGAATAAAACAGAGAATATCAAATTAAATAAGTATACTTCGGTCGATGCCAAAAGCGAGTTCACATTTAGAATTCAAGAAATGGGACCTGAGAATAGTACCCCCAATCTTAAGAAAAATTAAACATTTATTTGAGTGACAGTTCCGTATCTAGTGCATCAAATGTTACTTATTTTCAAGGGATAATTAATCTATTGCATTATTCTTTGAAAAAATATTAATGAACGCTTGGCACCGAGGCGATAAAACGTAATATTTTATTTCTTATCCAATCAATCAATTATATTTGAAAAAAAAAAACGAAAAATAATGAAAATAATGTAAAAAAAATATATACAAATTATAAAATTCAAACATAATATGGGAATTGCTAAGAATAATAATGACTCACATCGTTTTATCTATGCGTCTGGTATAGTTGGAGTTTTAGTTGTAACCTCAAACTTCATCTAGACGTTTTACATCTATATCTTTCGGTTTAGCTACCAGACGCATAGGTAAAAGAGTCGATATCGGCGTGAGTCATTATTATTCTCAACCATTTTTATATATAGTGTGTCCGGCTATATGTTTCAAACTTAAAAGTTTAATTTTAAAATACACTTTAATAAACTATTTTACTCTGGAAATTTGGGGTAATTTCATTAAATTGTTTGACAGATATTGATCTTAAATATTGATATCTTTTGTAAATACCTGTACCCAATTTATAATGTTTGGACACAATCTGTTTACAGCACCACATGTGACGTTTCCATAAGTGGTGAATGCAAGTCAATCCATCAAAATATTACAGATTTCATACAAGATTTGACAGTGGTACAAGGGAATGGCACGTAAGACATGGCGACGCGCCAAACCGTAACGCCATCTATCGGATAGAATCTGAATTACAAATTCCGTATTGTCTATCTCATATTTGTGTAATTTTATTCATAGACTTATAATGTTTATTCCGACAAATTTGTAAGGTTTTTGTTCGCCAACATTTTACATAGCATGCCATACCCTTGCAGTGGTATTTGCACCATTTGTAAAATTACCCGAAATTTTCAGAGTAAATTTACAAAATCAGACCTTCCGTCTGCTAAAAATAACTCTACTCTCTTGAGAATTGGGGTACCGGACACACAGTAGTTACAAATTAATGTACTCTTCAACCAACTGAACTACCAAAAACGTGACGCGGTTATTATAAAAATCGATAGTGACCGGTTATCAATCAATTGGGGGCAAACTGGGAAACTCCGGCAAATAATAAATAAAAATAACTTTATGTTTTTGTTTTTTGTTCAATAATGTTTAAAAAATTAAACATTTTTTTTTTAAATAAAAATTTCATTTATTTCTGCCGTCATTTATTGACGCGTATTTTGATGTGATATATGCTATATCTTACATTAAATGGTAAAACCACATAAAAATCATGCGAATAAACTTAAATAACACATTAAAAGTTGTAAAATAATAATTTTTAATTGATTCTACCCTCGAAAAAATACACATTAAAGGGATACAATCTATCTGTTTGTTTGACTAAGTCCAAGTTGTTGTTTTATGTATCAAATTTGTGTGTACTATATAAGTAAAAAACACTTCTTTGGAAGTTCTCACTGTGACGCAATACTGCACATCAAATCTGAAAATGATCTGATATAAATTTTCAGTGACGCTTGCAATCAAATACACAAACAATTTTTATATTGCGTTGCCTCTCTTATTCTTAGAAAATTAAAAATGAAAATTTCATTGTGATAATGCCCAAGAGGCAACGCAATATAAAAATTGTTTGTGTATTTGATTGCAAGCGTCACTGAAAATTTATATCAGATCATTTTCAGATTTTATGTGCAGTATTGCGTCACAGTGAGAACTTCCAAAGAAGTTTTTTTTAGTTATATCATTTGTTTTAACATTAAATTTAATTTTTCTGTTTGTATGCAATTTAACATATTCTTTTATTGTATTCATATATTGATATTGATCACATTGGAAATCAAAATTATTTATATAAATCGATTTCTTGCAATGCACGCCAATGTTTTTTTGCTTTCTGCCATACTTTATCATTTGTTTTTACATTGAATTAGAGTTTTCTGTTTGCTCTCGAAAAAATTTTTTTTTGCATTTTCAATTGTTTTTGTAAAATTTTGAAACAAAAGGAGAAATTTCTTCGGTGTATTTGTAGTGTGTATGGTCACCAAATCTATTCAAAACTAATTGATCCAATGTTTTAATTCATTTTCTTCAATTGAATAAAGCCCTCAAAATATCATTTCAAGGTGTATTCCAGGCCGATTATCTCTAAAAATCAAAAGAATTTCTCAAAAAGATTGCCCCCATTAGATTTCTTGGGTCCGAATTATGTGATATCAGTCAAATTTTAAAAAGGTGGTCGGCCAAATACACGCTCTTTCGAACTTTGACCAATTTAGAAAAATTATGTTTTTAAAAAATGTGCTCTTTCGATCTATGATAAAAAAATCGTTTTTCACACTTTTTTTTAAACAAAATTACGATTTTCATCGATTTTTCTCCATTTTTAAATAGTATGGTCATAAATGGATTGAACCATCTCCACTGAATTTTTTTCAAAATTTCTTCGCTGTATGCTCAAGGGGAGCATATTTTTGTTGAAAAACACCCCGTGTACCCTGTTCGAGGAATGCTCCAAAAATCGAAAATTTTCGAAAAAAAATTAATTTTGAACAAAAAAATTGGTTCGTTATGAATTTTCCAACATATACCAAAACATCACAAATTACCAGAAAACTATGTATGTAATTTTTTTAATTTTGGTCGGTGTGAAAAAAGTCATGGTCATTTTTCCAAATTTCAAAACATAAACGAAGAAGATCCACACAAAAGAGAATACACAAAAACGATATTTTGTATGAAAATTAGATGGATAAATGCAATTTTAGACGGATTGCCAACTAGTTCCGAATTTTAGATGGCATGTCATCTATTTTTCTTTGAATATATTTTTGTGTGTGGATCCGATTTAAATGAAATGCCCTAGAATGAATGTGAGACCTTTACTCTAATTATTTCTATATACATATGTAGTTTTGTGACAATTGCATTATGTAAAAAGTTAGGTACCCTTGTGAAAAAAAATGACTGACTGACTATAAATTAAGCCAATTTTAATCACTTTTATTCGGTTAAAATTACCAATAGATGATTGAAATCGAATATAGTCGGTTATGTTTCAGAGTTAACTAAAAGTGATTATAGTCAACATAGTTGACAAAAGTCAATTTCATATACTTATAGTTAACCGTAGTTAACTATGATCACATTCGACATTTCTCAACTCAAGTTACATGAAGATGCATATAGTCACTTATAGTTAACTTTAACTGGCTGAAATATCAGCCATTTTTGTCCCAAATTAGTCAATTTATAGTCGTGTCGAATAAATTCAATATGAAGTCGAAATATTTCCACAAGGGATATTTCATAACAAATCTAAAAATGTAATCAGTTTATTTGGTAAATTTTACTCTCTTGACCACTCTCATAGATTGAGGGCGTACCCAAACTAGATATCATTCGTTTCCGAGAATTCTACAACAATGAATTGTTGTAAAAAAATGTCTTCAACTCTCATTTTTTGTAAAAAAATGTCTTCAACCTTTTCATTTTTATAATGTGGGTAGAATAGGTTGAAACTATTTTTCAAATTTTTGTCACTTGAAAAAACAGGTCTTATGGTCTCCAGGTTCAAGATATAAAATAATTTTCATCTTTCTATTTGATATAGCAACATGAAAATAAAATGGACTCCTTTCTTTTTGATTGAAATTTCCTCAAACTTGCTGATTTTATGTATTTTGGTCAAAAAATAAGATTCACAAGTTGTGGTGATTTTTTATGATTTCCCAGTGAAATGGGCTCGTTTTATTTTCAAGTCGCTGACTTATATCAAATAGAAAGATGAAAATTCTTTTATATTTTGAATTTGGAGACCATAAGAGAGGTTTTTCCAAATAGCCGCAAAATTATGCCGAAAATGTTCCACCAAGGGTCATAGAAGTCTCACAATCATTATATATTCACTTGTTCGTAAAGCTTGTAAAACAAATAGTTTAAACTAATTTCAAGGTGTAGAAACAGTTCAACCAATTTGGTGGAATTTTGAAGCTACTTTTACTGACATGTTTTAAGTATGTACAAATATATACATCCTAAAAAATCATCAAGTATGATTTTCGAAATTGAAACATTATAATTTTTTTCATATTTAATTGTGTCGGTGGAAAAACTGGAAAAACAAAAGAGTACTTTGCATACAAAGTGGAAAAAGCAAGGACAGGGCATGCAATATATACACTATGTATTTTATATTTTATTGTTTCTAGGGCATCAGAAATGTTACCTTATCAAAGGAGTCGACTATCCAGTAATAAAGATTAGCAAGTGTCATTAAACACAGTATGAAATTTACCGGATGCTATACTAAAATGTGTATACTGGAAGCACCATTGGTTTTTCGTCTTTTTTTTCATCTACCATACGTAACTTCACCCTATAAACTTGCTTATAGACCAACCGAGATCCGATATAAATCATGTAGTTACTTATAAACAGTGGTAACGTAAAAACGTATAATGTGATTTGTTGACAATGCATTATAGAAGTTTGTGCAACGTTTTTTGGCAGCGCTACTGATATATACGTATTCATAATCAACAACATTACATTTTCGATGTTTATTTCAAGAGTTTACATAAAATGCCGTTGCAGCGCTACTTTGAACATATGTTCAGTGACAGTTCAGTGGCCTAAAAAATACATTGTCTATATATTGCACACTTCGTCTCTTCCTATAAACTTCATCACGTACTTACTTATAAAGTGATAGATCTAAGGTTACTACCCTACACACCAGTAATATTTGAGTACGGTATTACCGTATACGGTGTTATTAGAGCGTTTACTCCCCAACAGTGTTGGGTAA